TGAATTGATGGAGGGTCCATTCGGTATCTATTTGAAAGAATTATAGATCAACTGAAAAAAAAAAAAAACATTGAAAAACTACATTCATTGCTCCTACGCAGTTATTCTCATAATAATTCTTATTATCGCTGAAAAATGTAGAAGAAAGCCAAGCGTGAACTAGTGATGCATAAAATTGAATCTAACAATGTCAACAGCAAAAAATCATAAAAGTAATTGTTCGAAGAACTGCCTACTCCATACTAACAGTCTTAGTGCCGAATCCATATTCTATCGTATTGTGCTCCTCCAGAACGCAACAGTAAAGAAGCAGTCTCACGCACGTTTCACCTAATTTATTAAAGGACAAAGTGAAAAATTCGGCGTCGCCAAAGCAAAGCTTTAGCAACTTTTGATGTTGGCATCCCAAGTATGAAAATTTCTAGCTTCATTTTTTTGCTTCAGTCGATACTTTTTTAAGTTAAAATATACTTTTTAAGGTCAAATGTATTATGTGATTTCTCAAAATTAAATCGGTAAGTGGGCTTTAAAAACAATAGGAATTACCTCAGAATCCGAATTTCTTAGTTCCAAAAACAGCCAAAAACAACGTACTGGTCCCTTTCTTTGTTAATCTACTTAAGTTGCCGAACAAATAATCACATTTAACACAGCTAATTTTCATGCGCACAACTCCAACGTGGCGTCACGGTCATCAGTGAACTGTCATAGATCTCGCGCAGCAAGGTCAGAACCCAAAAAATGATGTGACTGAGAGGATGTACGACCTCAACTTTACCACAACAAATACTTTTTAATGTTACGGGGATTATCAACAGAAGATACAGTGTAAAAAAAAATTGTAAAGGCAAACATAATCTGACAAAAACCCTAATAAAGACCTATTTTATTAATAGAAAACAGATGCAATTTTTTATGTTCTTTCCTGTCACTCAAAATTTAATGACTTTTTTTTCCTCTATTCCTTCTTTTCATGATTACTTTACGACAAACATAAACATTTATGTCTTTTTTTTATTGTCCGTCATTAAACTCGTTCAACTTTCCTCTAACCTTTTAGCCAAGCTATACCTTGATTTCATTAAAAAGCAAGAGTAGAAGATCAAAACACCCGTAAGAAACTCAGATGACCAGTAAACTCGCAGATATTACATAAGGCAACGAATACATACAAAAATGTAAAGAAACTCCCGATAACTGGTGCCCCAAAAATGGCTGCTAATGCGGGCATCGTAAACGAAGTTACAAGCATATTCTCAGAAGGGATGGCAAAAAAGCACAAAATCTCTGGGAAGTTGAAAAACATGTTGACATTTCGACACAAATCTAAAACCGAACTGGGACAACCTAATTCAGGAACCCCGATTGTGCTTTTTCTTTTTTGGAGCAAATCTAAAAAATGAACAGACGCAAAATTATATGCACTCGCCAACAATCAGTAATAGCAGTTGAACGAATGAAATAGCTTCACTATTTTTTAGGCCAAACAAAATCGTTTTCAAACAGACTGCTCTGCGGAGTCACTGAGCATACGGGAAAATTTTCGCCCTTTAAAAGACAGCACAAAAATAGAGCGCAAAGTACTTGCAGGGAACTTGAAACTTTTGTGAAACAAAGTAGCTTGAAATGTGAGCTTTCTGGAAGAAAAAAATTCAAGATAACATGCTGACAGCCACAAAACAATCGCTGGAGCTAGGAAAAATGGTCTCTGCACACCAAACTGTTAGAACAACAAAAAACGGCCGGAAAATGTGCGAAAAAGAATTAAACCTTTGGACTGTTTTCGAATTAATAAAGAACCATCAACAGAGTTCCAATGTATACTTGCCCCAAATATGAATGTAATGAACTGCTCAATAAAAGCGTAAAAATTTATGACCAAAAACAGCGGCACCGAGTACAGCTAAGCAGGCGATGTTGTGCAAACTACAGCAAACCTAGTGAATTAAGATGATGAAAGTCTCTATACAAGCACAGTTTACCTGTTTAAAAGTATAAAAAAATAGATTTTTGATTAAAAAAATTACTACACGACGGCACCAAATAAAATCCTAACTGCAGCGATGTGCATTAAAAACTGGCTACGAAATGACAATCTTAAGAACTTGGCAAAGTCTTTTCAGCCTGAGGCGGACAATGTCTTGAGATCAGCGTCCGAAAAGAGAAGCCGCTTAGTGCAGTAAAAAAAATTCTCAACCGCGTTTTCTTAGATTTTCATACTTCTGCAAAAAACTAAAAAACGCATTGCACGGGAAAAATCTATCTGCCTGGATAGTTCAACACTTGAACCGAGAAACTATGTAGCTTACTAAAAATGAAACACAAGAATATGCGAAAAGCCACAAACTTGAAATCAGTCTTCAAATCTCGATGATTCTCAATCTACAACTTTAGATTCAAAATTAGCTAATGTCATAACCAGAAAATGAAAAAACTATAAAATAGACATTCTGACATCTTCAATTAAAAATCATTTCCGAAATCATGTCTTAG